GCTCAATGGGGTGGCGATCCGGCGTGGGAGGGCGGAGCGACGTGCACCGTTGGTGCTCCGCTTGTGGCCCCTGAGGTGCACGAACGGTGCACTCCCCCTCCCTCCATGTATCTCTTCCCCATGTGCGCATCGCCCGCAGAAAACGAATAGTCGCGCTGGGACGTTTTTCGAGCCCCCGTAGAGTCAACGCGCCTAGTAAGGATCGGAGGTTGATCGACCTCCTACCCTGACACGTCGATGAGCGAATCTGCCGTTCGGTTTTCGCGAGGGCGTCGTGGGCGTCATTTTTGCGGGTCCAGGTCTGTCGGTTTCGGTCCTGGGCCGTTTTCACTAAAGGGTGGTTTCCTAAAGGGAGGTTTGTCCACCGCCGAACGCGCCTAGCAAGGACGCGCGCCTTCACCTAGGGTGCCCTTGCGTCCTTGCCCCAGCGGCCCGTCCTGATTGTCGTTTCCGCGGGCCTCTCCCCGGGGTTAGCTTGCTCTTGTGTTTCTGGGGTTAAGTCGGGCCTGTCCCTCTACAGGAGGAATATTCCCAAAACATAGTATGGGGGCTTTTTTTTTCTCTCGCATTTTTAGGGTATTGTTGGTGTATTCTGCATTTTTCGTTCAAAATCGGCCTGTAGGGGGACAGGCCCGACTTAACTCTTCCAAACTTGGGCCTGTAAGGGTCTTTCGGAAGCTGAGCGAGGGCCGGCAAGTCCGTGGCTGTTACGACGGTCTTCTCGGAAGGAAAAAAACCATATCGCCGGAATGCGGCTCGGCGCGCTAAGTGGTAAGCGGGCTGCGTCCCAGAAGAGAAAAGCAATTTCCCAGGGCTCCGTTTTGGCAGCCACGGGTCTGCCAGCCTTCGCCCAGCTTCTAAGTCTTGCGTCCTTACTCGGCGCGAACGAAATTGGTACAGAGAGAATGGGTACAATGCCCAACAGCAGTTATTATTAATTCATTTTGCACAGGACTTGCTGTCCGCGCCGCCGCGGCCTGTGTCTATTCGAGACAGAAGGCCGCCTGCCCAACAGCGGCCGCTGTTGGTTTGGGACAACATCTGTTGTTGGGCATTGTTTTCATTTTTTCCGTACCCATTTCGGGCGTCCAAACTTACCACCCATCCTTCATACACGTCTTGACCGTGTCCTCGGAGGCAAACGAAGAAAAAACACGATAATAGAAACCAACACCAATAAGAGCAATACATAACATAAAAGCACGCAACACTGACGACCCGAATACATCTGTCTAGTGGAACCAGCCACGGGAACGGACAACACAAAATACATAACGCCGATTTAAAGTAATACATAATTTCGGAAACCAGCGAAAAACAACAGTGGATAGCATTAGAATTGTGGAAGTCGATTAATGGAGAGGAAGCGTGCTGCCAAACACTTTCCAGATGTCTAAAACATGCTTCAAGCATGTTTTAAATATGTAAAGACATCTTGAAACATTGTTCCCCAATCAGACCTTGCCTCTGTAGGGGTCCTAGCGGATGCATATGGTTAGGTTAGGTTTGCCGCCGATTTTCTCTGCACGCCCGGGTGCCCCGATGCCTGGGGGTGCCTGGGTGCCCAGGTGCCCGGGTGCCCGGGCGTGCCTGGGGGTGCCCGGGTGCTCGCCCAGTAGCCCTATAGCCTTATAGCCCTACAGCCTTATAGCCTTATAGCCCTATAGCCCTATCGCCCTCTAGCCCTACAGCCCTATAGCCCCAATAGGTTTATAACCCTATAGCCCTAATAGCTCCATAGCTTTATACCCTTATAACCCTATAGCGCTATAGCCCTCTAGCCCCATAGCCCTATAGTCCTACAGCCCTTTAGCCCCATAGCCATATATCATTAAACAGATTATCATTTGGTTTTTCTCTGCTATCATTTGAACAGTCAATGATCGGATTGTTAGAGTGTCCATTGTCATGGCATCCACGACACTAGAAGCAACGATGCCACGAACAAAAACAACAAAAGAGCACCTGGGGGCGGCCCAGGCGCAGGCCGGCGCCGGCGCGGCGGCGGGCCTCCTGGAGCGCGCGGGCGGCGAGGAGGGCGCGGTGGAGGGCGAGGCTCCGAAGGCCTGGCGGAGCTCTGGGCACCTTGGTGGCTGATGACCGCCCCGGTGCGCAGCGCGCAGCCCGCAGCGTGACGTCACGGAGCGCAACACGTACACATTGTTCATGTCTAATTCTTCGAGAGTCCTTTGTTTTTTGGGGGGGCCAAGAGCCTTTCATTCCTACTTGTTCTATCCTGGGCCTCTTCCTGGCCACTAGGGGGCCAGCAGGAACCATAAGAAACGAGCACAATTGGAAACGAGCACGATTAGAAATGGACGACGTGCAGGCCGAACGCGTGCGTTTGGCGCGACACGTGCGCCAACAGGTGGGCCAGCACGTGGAGCCAGCGCGCAGCGTGTGAGCACGGACGCTTCGGCAGCACGGCACGCGCTGCGCTTCAAAATTGGCGTGTCAGGGCAGCTCGGCTTTTGGTAGAAGTCAGGGCAGGGAGGTCTTTCGCGAAGGAAGATAGGGGGCCACATGCGAACTCTACCCCTACCCTCCACGATTTCTGAGGGGGAGGGTGGGGTTCACTTCGTTCGGGAGCTCCCGAGCGAAGTGAACCCCACCCTCCCCCTCAGAAATCGTGGGGGGGAGGGGTAATGCTCGCATGTGGCCCCCTGGAAGAAGAACGGCATCTAATGAATGTACATGCTCGGAGGTCCGCGCGAGTTTCTCGCATCGGCTTATGGACCCCCTTGCGGCGCCTCCAACGCCGCCCCTGGCGCGCTGCCAGGGAGGGGCGCAGAGCTGCGGGCGTCTGGGCACAAGTCGGGGCGGACTCCAGCTTCTTCTTGCCCAGGGGGCAACTCACGACGTCGGAATTCTGGGCCCGTGCGTTTTGGCAGAAGTCATGGCGGGGGCCTGTCGCCGTTCCCCTGTGCTACAGTTGGGGCCCTGAAGAAGGAGCCCTTTTCGTTGGGGAGGGGCTCGGTGTTCCTTGATTGTGTCACGGGTTGTCTTCGGTTCTCCTCAGGTCTTCGACGGGAGATCGAAGTTCAGTTCATGGAAGAAGGGGCCCTCGTTCCTTATCTAGGGTTCCTTAGGTCAACGCCCCGACTGTATCGACGAACTACACATGGTTCATTTCTATTTCTTCGAAAGTTCTTTGTTTTTTGGGGGGCCAAGCTTGTTCCACTTCTATTTGTTCTATCCTGGGCCTCTTCCTGGCCACTAGGGGGCCAGGAACCACTGGAAACGAGCACACTTGGAAACGAGCACGATGAGAAATGAGCACGATTAGAGATGGTCACACTTAGAAATGAGCACGAGGGTTCCTTAGGTCAACGCCCCGACTGCATCGACGAACTACCATCCCGCGATAACGACGTGGACCCGCAGAGCCGCAGCACGCGCCCCTGCGTGCCGCCGCGCCTCGGCACGCAGGGGGCACTCGCGCGACGCTGGCGGGCGTCGGCGCGCAGGGGTTCGCCGACGACAAGCGTGGGAACATCCCGTTGGGCATGAAAAACTTGGTACACGGAGTGGTGGGGGGGGGATAGGGAGGAGGAGGAAGAGGAGGAAGAGGAGGAGGAGGAGGAGGAGGAGGAGGAGGAGGAGGAGGCGATGCAGGACCAGGAGGAGGATGGAGGAGGGGTGAGGAGGAGGCGGAGGAGGAGGCAGGAGGAGGAGGAGGAGGAGAGGGCACGTAGGGAGGTATGGAATAGGAGGAGGAAGAGGACGAGGGTGGTTCGCGGGAGGAGGAGGAAGAGGACGCCGTTTACCACAAGCCATAGCCGACGGTCGGCAGCTAGATCCAAGCGTCGACTTCTTTTTTTCGCTCTGGGCGTCGTCGCCCAGAGTCGGGCCCCGGGGGCCCGAGGACCGCCGCAGGCAGGTGGCGCCGAGGGCTCTGGCTGTGTGTTTTTCACGATGCCGCTCTTGCTCGCGACACCGGATCCTCCTCCTCCTCCCTCCTCCTCCACCTCCTCTCCTCCTTCCTCCTCCTCCTCTCCTCCTCCGCCTCTCTCCTCCTCCTCCTCCTTCCCTCCTCCTCCTCCTTCCTGCCTGGACCTCCCATTCCGAAGCCTTCGGCTCTTCTGGGAGGCGCAATGGTCGCGCCCTTCTCCTCCTTCTCCTCCTCCTCCTCCTCCTCCTCCTCCTCCTCCTCCATCTCCTCCGCCATCTCCTCCTCCTCCTCCTCCTGCTTCCTCCTCCTCCTCGAGGGTTTGCGGCGTCTGGGGCCGTTTGTCGGGCGCTGAGGCTGCTGTTCAGAAGTGACCCAGGATGACGAGCCGGTCATCGACACATGGAGTCAGGACATTGCCACTGGTCCCAGGCTGCTCGTTTCCCTCAGGAGCCCTTTCCGGACGGTCCTGGTATCCTCAGGCGCTAGCCTCGCGACTCTCGACACCTTTCCTGAGACTGGCTTTCCTCTGTCTCTATAGTTTTTGATTTTTTCAGGAAGTCGGAGGTATGGGATCCTCTTCCTTCGAAGATCGCCGCCCAGACATGTCAGGGATGAGTTCTCGCGAGAGTTTCGGGAGGAGTGCAGCAATGGCGACGAGACGCCTCCCAGAGACCTAACGAGGGCGGAATTCGCCTCGGAAACCTTGATCCTGAACCCCCCCATGTCAAAGAAGGCGACGATATTCGTGTGCACGAACCTCCAGTGCTGCCAGGATGGTGCCGCCGACACCAGGACGTCGGGGGGGGGGGCGACGGTCCCTCTCCCGACGACGACGACGACGACGATAATGATGATGATCAACACGGTAATCGCGACGGCTATGATGGCGGCGGCGGCGACAGTGACGACGACCTCTCCCGGGGATGCGGTCTGGCCAGGGCTTCCGACGTGGATCCGGCACTCTCCGAGGCCCGGAAGCGCCCGAGCACGCCAGCAAACCCCGATCATCGGCCGTTGAACTCCTCGAACGCCTCGATCCTCGACGACGATGGTGGCGACGGCGACGGCGACGGCGGCGACGTCCGCGGCGACGGCGACCACCCGGACATCCGACAATCTGCTCTTCAGTAGGGGGCCACTTGCGAACCCTACCCCTACCCCCCACGATTTCTGAGGGGGACGGTGGGGTTCATTTCGTTCGGGAGCTCCCGAGCGAAGTGACCCCCCCCCTCCCCCTCAGAAATCGTGGGGGGTAGTAGGGTTCGCAGTTGGCTCCTCTTCCGTCCATGGCTCCGTGGAGGTCCTGACCCCCTCTCTGTGGGGGGAGTTGCCCTCCCCAGATCGATGTCTGGTGGCCCCTGGGGCCTCAGCTCTGCCTCGAGAGCTTCGAGAGGCCGACACCGCGGCACCGCGCCCTCCTGCCGCCGGCGATCTGGCCACGGCGCTGGCAGCGACGACGGCCAGGAAGATGCTCGAGGAGCTGGCCCCGCCCGGCGTGGCCGTCGAGGAGATCACCTGCCTCGGGCCTGGCGCTCAGCTTGAACGAACCCGCCCTCCCCGCTCCTTCTCCGCCTCCCTCCACCTCTCCGCTGCCTCCAGTCCTTCGGGCGAGCCCCCCAGAGGGGCGCGCACGACTCCGCCGTCCGTTCGTTCGTGCCCGCCCGGCGTAGTCGGGCCACGGGGTCGGGCGTCCGCCGCACCGACCTCGGTCTCGATCGATGCTCCTGGATGCTCCCCCTCCCCCTCCTCCTCCTCCTTCTCCTCCTCCTCCTCCTCCTCCTCCTCCTCCTCCTCTGCTCCGCCTCCTCCTCCTCCTCCGTCTCCTCCTCCTCCTCCTCCTCCTCCTCCTCCTCCTTCCCCTCCTCCTCCTCCTCCTCTTCCTCCGCCTCCTCCTCCTCCTCCTCCTCCTCCTCCTCCTCCCCCTCCTCCTCGTCCCCACACCTTCCGCCGATGAACGGAAATCACGGCAGGGTTCCTCTGGCCGTCTTTCGTCCTCGTTAGGGGCCCCCGCGCCGAGGCCAGGGGACAGTCCGCAGAGAACGGCTCACGGCGAGAATCTTGCGGGAGTGGTGGTCTGGACTTTGGGGGTCCGCAGTGTGAAAATCCAGTCCGGGGGAGGTGGTCTGGGCTTCTGGGCGCCCGCGCTGCGAGCCACACCTTGAAGTCGGAGGTCTGGGACCCTCCCCTCCCCCCCTCCCTCGCACATGCTCCTCCCGTTTCCTCCTGCACTCCTCCATCCTCCTCTTCATCTTTCTCCTCCTGCTCCTGCTGCTCCTCCTTCTTCTCCTCCTCCTCCTCCTCCTCCTCCTCCTCCTCCTCCTCTTCCTCTTCCTCCTCCTCCTCCTCCTCCTATTTCTCCTCCTCCTCCTCCTCCTCCTCCTCCTCCCCCGCTTGACGCAGCTCGGCCTTACATGTCTTACATGTGGCTGAAGCCTGCTGATCGACGTTGAGTACGGTGAAGCCTCGAACGCATGCTCATGGCACTGGCGCTCCTCCTCCTCCTCCTCCTTCTCCTCCTTCCTCCTCCTGGAGGGGAGAGAAGAGAGGAGGGATAATGCTGCTGCTGATGCTGATGCTGATGCTGATGCTGATGCAGCTTCTGCTGATGATGTTGATGCTGTTGATGATGATGATGCTGATGCTGATTGTGGTGCTGATGATGCTAGTGATGCTGATGATAATGATGATGCTGACGTTGCTGATACTGACGAAGATAGCGATAAGGATGACGATGGCCACGATGACGATACTGTTGTTGATGATGTTGCTTATGCCGATGATACTAAGGAGCCGATGATGCTGATGCTGATGCTGATGATGCTGAGGCTGATGATTATTATGATTATGATGGTGCTGTGTTTTTGTTGTTGATGATGTTGTTGATGATGATGGTGAGGTTGTTGTTGATGATGATGATGACGACGACGATGATGATGATGATGATGATGATGATGATGAGGAGGAGGAGGAGGAGGAGGATGATGATGATGGGTATGGCGCATCTGCTTATGATTATGATGCTGATGACTACGTATGATGATGCCGAGCGTGATGATGATGCTGATGCTGACACTGATGAGCGTGATGATGATGCTGATGCTGACACTGATGATGCTGCTGATGCTTATGCTGATGCTGATGATGATGATGATGATGATGATGATGATGATGATGATGATGATGATGATGATGCTGATGCTGATGCTGATGCTGGTGATGGTGATGGTGCTGGTGAGGAGGAGGAGCAGGAGGACAAGGAACATGGAGGGGAGGGATGGAGAACATGCCTGGCGTTGTCTGGGCGTTGTGTCGTCGGAGCCGCCACCCGCCTCTGCCCCTCCTCTTGGGGCGTGCGGTGGGGCGTGGGTGGCCTGCGGCGCGGACAGCCTTGCGTTCGCGCCGGTTTTTGTCGAGGGATCGTCCCGGCGCCCAGGCCCGCCAGCGCCCGCGAGAAAGGAGGAGAAGGAGGAGGAGGAGGAGGAGGAGGAGGAGGAGGAGGAGGCGGAGGCGGAGGAGGAGGAGGAGGAGGAGGAGGAGGAGAAGGAGGAGGAGGAGCAGGAGCAGGAAGCAGGACGCCGACGCCCACCAGCGCCGCGGAGAGGGCCCTGGGGGCGCCGAGGCTCGTCGGCACGCCGAGGGCGTGTCTGTGCGGCGCTGCGGGCCCACGTCGGTGTCGCGAAGTGGTGGTGTTAAGGTTGGCCTGTCCCTCTACACGGGGAATACTCAAAAAATAGTCAAGAAGTAACCTGGGGACTCTTTTCTTAAATCGTATTTTGGGGGCATCTTGTGAACCTGATTTCTTGCGTAGATTTGATGTTTCGTCCGAGATCTCCCCGTGGGAGGACAGGCCCGACTTCGTGGTAGTGCGTCGACGGCGCGGGAGAGCGGCGGCGGGCCCCCCGTCGTGGCCGCTGCCCGGGCCGCACGGGCCCAGAGCTCCGACGCCGTGCTTCGCGCCCCCCCCCCTGGCCACCAACAGGGCCGAGCTCGGCCTGGACCTTAGCTGGGGCGCCCGCAGCGTTGTGCCCCCACCCCTCCTCCTCCTCCCCTCCTCCTCTCCTCCTCCTCCCCCTCCCCCTCCCCCTGCTCCTCCTCGCCTCCGCCTCCTCCTCCTCCTCCCCACCTCCCTCCTCCTCCTCTCCCCCTCTCTCCTCCTCCTCCTCCTCCTCCCCTCCTCCTCCTCCTCCCCTCCTCCTCCTCCTCCTCCTCCGCCGCCGCCTCCTCCTCCTCCTCCTCCTTCTCCTCCTCCTCCTCCTTCTCCTCCTCCTCCTCCTTTCCCTCCGCGGCGCCGGAGGCGCCGCACGGGGGTCCAGATCCGATGCGAGCAGCCGGCGCAGCTCTCCGAGCACGTACACTATATTAGGTGTCGTTCTTCTTCTTCCTTCGCGAGCGGCCTCTCTGCCCTGACTTCTACCAGGCTTGGCTGCCATGATACGCCCGTGTTGAAAGGCACCACGTGCCGGGTTCGAAACGCAGGGGCTAGCGCGCTGCGTATTGGCTCGGCGCGTATTGGTCCACGTGTTGGCGAACGTGTCGCGCCAAACGCACGTTTTCGGTCTACGTGCTGCGCTCCGTGTCAACGCGCTACGTGTTGCGTGTTGCGTCCCGGGGCAGCTATGCTGGGCACACTCGGGACCTCCAGTACCCGCCAGCGCGCCCGCGGACGACGATGCCGCGGGAGGCGCAGAGGTGGCGGCGCCGATGGCAGCCCAGTCGATCTTCCAGCCCGTCGGCACGGCGGCTAGCCCTCCGTGAAGAAGATCGGCGTCGTGGATGAGCCGCTCACGTTCGGCGTCCCGGTCCATGCTTGCCGAGCTCTTCACCTGGAAGGCCCCATACGCCGCCACTTGCAGCAGGGCGGACTCGAACGCGGGTACCTTCTCGGCCCTCGCTCGGACGAAAAAGAACGGAAGGGGGAGCGATCGCGCACGGGCTCGCCGCAGGCAGCGGCGAACCTCGCGAGCGGCACCAGGGTGAACCAGAGGATGGCGAAGCCGCCTTCGGGCGAGGCCTCCTCCGCGTCGCCCTCCTCCTCGCCCCGCGCACGCAGCGCCACCGCGTGCGCGCTGAGGTCTCCCGCCTCACGGGGGCAGGCGGGGAGGAGGGGCACGCGCCCCGCGGCGGCGGTGCCCCAGCCTGTTCCCAGGCGTGCCCCGCGGCGAGCCAGGCCCTGACCACAACTCGCCTGCCAGCGCGGGCAGGGCCGTCGCTGGCCCACTCCGACCCACGTGTTCAAGTACACCAGAGAAAAACTCCAGTCAGTGGATGGTTTGAACATTAGTGACATGGGTGTTGAGATCGATTGTGAGATCGATCGTGGAATCGATCGTGAGGACGATTGTAAGGTCGATCGGGAGACCGAGAGTGAAGTAGATTCAATCGGATCGATAGTGAGATCAGTCGTGAGATCGCTCGTGCGATCTATAGTGAGATCGATTGTGATATCGATACCGAGATCGACTGTAAGATCGATAGTGAGATCGATAGAGAGGTGGGTAATGAGATCGATGGTGAAACCGATCGATAAGAAGATCGATCAGGAACCTGGGAACCACGCCGCCAACCGAAGTCGGCCCAGAACCAGGAATTCGGGAACCCGGAACTGGGAACCCGGGAACCGGGCCGCCCACCGAAATCGGCCCGGCACTTTCGCCAAAAATTTCAGCTTCCGCTAGGGCCCCTTGAGTGCAAGCACTGATGGGGACATCACAACTTCAATCTCTTCATTTCTCTGCAGTGGAGCCCTGCTCAAGGCCAATCTCCGAGTCCACGTCCACGAAGGCCGCCTGCGACTCCAGCTCGACGTCGTGGGCACAGCTGCCCTCGCACGGCAGCTCAGGCTCCCTGTACACCCCGATGGACTGCAGCACGTCCTTGGCTTCGGTGCCTGGCCGCACAGTGTGGCCAGCCGCGCCTGGCACGAAGGGCGCTTTGGCCGCGGGGCAGGGGCGCGACCTTCGGCGCTACCTGCGCCACCCGCGCCCCTCGGCGGACGGCTCGGCCTCCGCCGTGCAAACCTCCACGACGCACGCCGCGACCTCGGCCGCCTCCTCCTCGCGCTCGGCGCGTGCGGCCTCGGCGACCCCGATATCTCCCGCGGCGCCTCCCGCGGCGCCCAGGCGCCCTCTTCTGGGAGCGAGCGGGGCGGCAGCGCGCGGGCACCTCGCTGCGCGCAGGGAGACGCCGCGCCTCGGGCGGCGCGCTCCTGGCACCTCGCGGCCCTGCAGCCCGTCCGCCGAGCGCGGGGCGGGCGGTGGCCTCGCGGCGCCGGGCCTCGGCGAAGGCGCCACCGCTCGCGCCGCCGAGCAGCCGCACCAGGCGCTCGATCTCCGCACGGGCCGCCTCGAGCTCGCGGGTGGGCCTCTTCTGATGGGCCTGTTTTCTACCACCACCACCACCACCAGAAGTTGGAGGGGGATGAGGGGTCCTCCTCCTCCTCCTCCTCCTCCTCCTCCTCCTCCTCCTCCTCCTCCTCCTCCTCCTCCTCCTCCCCCTCGTCCTCGTCCTCGTCCTCGTCCTCGTCCTCGTCCTCCTCCTCGTCCTCCTCCTCCTCCTCGTCCTCCACCTCCTTCCCCCCTCCAACTTATGGTGGTGGTGGTGGAAAACGGGCTTCCTCCTCCTCCTCCTCCTCCTCCTCCTCCTCCTCCTCCTCCTCCTCACGGGCCCATCGGCCGAGGCCTCAGCGCCAACCGGGCCGCGCAGGTGCTACCGAGCAGTGCCACCTCCAGTCGCTGCGCACCGCCGCGGAGGAAGGCGGCGGCGACGCCGCGACGCCCTCCTCGGGCGGCGGCTCCTGGGCCTGCCAGGAGCGCGGAGGCAAATGGCAACCAAGGGGCTTGAGGCTGGCTCGAGCCAAAATGGCTACGACCAGGACGAGGAGGATAATGCGGAGGAGGAGGAGGAAGAGGAGGAGGAGGAAGAGGAGGAGGAAGAGGATGAGGAGGAGGAGAAGGAGGAGGAGGAGAAGGAGGAGGAGGAGGAGGAGAAGCAGGAGCAGGAAGCAGGGGCAGGGGCAGGGGCAGGATGAGGAGCAGGGCCGGCGTGAGCCCCAAACGCATGAGCGATGCTGCAATCATCCCTCCCTCCACGTGTCCTCTTCCTGGGCCCCTGCTGCAACTGATGCCGATTGCGGGAAGTGGCCTATTAGAAGACAGCCGTCTGATAAGCTTCAGTCGTGCTGGAGCGCCTTTCCTGGGACTGCACGCCGCGAGCTCACGTGATTGTTGGGTCCTGACAATCCTGAACCGCGCCAGACAGCCATCAACTGGACTGCTGCGTCCTGGCAATCCCAAATCGTGCCAGCACGTGTCTGGCACTTTAATCTCTGGAGCTTGCTGCTAACCTTTGAGACGAATGTGCGCGGCGCTACCGCGTGAGCCACATTTAGAAATCGAGCCGCACGCTTTGAAGACGAATGTCTGCGGCGCTGAGGCGAGAACAGCGTTTTGAAAAGGAGCCGCCCTCCATCCTCGAAACTGTTTCTCGCACAGTTTTGCGACGAATGCGCGCGGTGCGTAGGTGATAGCTACGTTTTGAATAGGTCCCGCCCTCTATCCTTGACATGTTCTGCAAACTGTTAAGACGAGGGTGCGCGGCGCTGAGGCGGGAACGACGTCTTGAAAAGGAGCCGCCCTGCATCCTCGAAGCCTCTGCACGGTGTTGCGACGCATGCGGCGGCGAGAACCGCATTCTGAACAGGACCCGCCCTACACCGGTGAAGCTGCTGCCCACCCACACTGGTTTGGATCTTGCGTGGTGGGGAAGTCAAGCGAAGCACTAGGCCCGCCCGACCAGCACGCTTGGGGGTGCGACAGCGAGGAGATATTTCGGATGAAAAGGATGTAGGAGGAGGAGGAAGAGGAGGAGGAGGAGGAAGATGAGGAGGAGGAGGAAGAGGAGGAGGATGTAGGATGAGGAGGAGGATGAGGAGGAGGAGGAGGAGGAGGAGGACCAGTGTCAGCCGACGGCGCATCAACAATGTTGCAACCACCCCTCCCTTCAATTTTCCTTCTCGCAGGCCCCTGGAAGAGATTTTGGTCCCAACCCTCCTTGGCTGGGTTCTCGCTTTGAACAGAGCAGTGTGGTCGCGCCCTTCCTTCTCCTCCGCCCGCCTCCCTGCTTCTCTCGCTCTCTCTCTCTCTCTCGCTCTCTTTCTTTCACTCTTTTTTCTTTCTCTTACAGTCGGGGCGCTGAACAAGGAACCCTTTTCGTTCGGGGGGGGGCGCTCCGTGTCCCTTAGTTGTTTCACAGTCTACCTTAGGCGCTCCTTCGGCTTTCGATGGGGAATCGAGGTTTGACTTATGGAGAGACTTAGGTTACCTTAGGTGCTCCTTCGGCTTTTGATGGGGAGTCGAGGTTTGACTTATGAAACAACAGGGGCCTCGTTCCTGGTTGATCATTCCTTAGGTCAACGCCCCAGCTGCAGGACATCCACAGGAGGGAGGAGGGGCCGCGGTGCGCCCAGGCCCTGCGGGTCCGGCCCCAACGTGTACGCCACGCCGCTCCCCGCCGGGGGCGCCGCGGGCGGGCGGGCCGTGGACTCCCTGAAGCGGGGCAGCCGGGAGTACCCCGGCGGCGTGGTCTTCACCGCCATGAAGGGCGAGGCGCGCGGGGGCCCACCCACTTTTGTTGTTGTTGTTGTTGTTGTGGTTGTGGTTGTGGTTGTTGTTGTTGTTGTTGTTGTTGTTGTTGTTGTTGTTGTTGTTGTTGTTGTTGTTGTTGTTGTTGTTGTTGTTGTTGTGTTTGTGTTTTCTTATAAGAATAATACTTGAATTTTGATACATATATATACACTATGGAAAACAGTTTGAAAGGAAAAGGAATAAGCACATACACACAGGGATGTATATATGTATATATATATATATAGATGAAGCTCCAGATCATCCATCCCCCTTCTCCCTCCTCCTCCTCCTCCTCCTCCTTCTCCTCCTCCTCCTCCTCCTCCTCCTCCTCTCCCTCCCTCCCTCCCTCCCTCCCCCGTCTCCTCCACATGTTCGACCTCCTTGCGTGGAGAGTTGCTTACCAGCTCAGGGCGTGCGGGGGGGCCGTGACTACGGCCCCCCCGGCCCAGAACAATCCCGGAGGACGTCTTCGCCCTCGCCTTCCTCGGGGACGGTCGGGCTTCGTCTGAGTGCGCAAATGCCGACGAGGTGCGGGTCGTGATTGGTCCTCCGAGTCTCACTGATCTGTCGCAGACGAACGGTTTGCAACAGCTGTTGTCTCCAAGGGTGGGCGGTTTGCACGAGGTCTTCTTCCTGTTCCCCCCTCCCCCCCTCGGTCCGCGTCCCGCCTCCTTCATTCTCTTCTTCCGCCTGGCCTCCCAGGAGCCCCTGGAGCATTTTTTCGGTAATATGTGGGCTGATGTTTTCGCCCGCGTGGCAGCGGCTGATTTCCTTGGATCCACCTCCGTGGTCAAGGCTCACAAATTTTCTCTGCTTCGGGCCCAGGACACGATGCGTTGTCTGGCCTGGGCTGCCGAGCGCGTGGCCCGCCTCTCCACCCCGATACTCCGTGCGCCTCCGAAGGCTGTCTTTCGGCCCCGCCGTCCGCGGCGGCCGACCGATCACGACTTTGTGGTCTTCGCTGGGGGAGCTATTCGATGTCGAGCCTGCTGGAGGCTTGCAGCGACGGCCTCGTCGTTGAAGTCTCTGGCCTCCCGTGCATGCGACCCCCAGGAGGTCGGGCCAGGACACCAGGTCCAGGCCTTGGATCGAGTTTTGATCTGTGTTAAGTGCGGGGCGCACGCTGTGCGCCCCAATCGGCTGTCGGTCGGCCTGTCTCGAGTGTGCAAGAGGGCTGGGACGGGGTCGGCGGGAGCTGGGAGTGGGGGGGACGGAGCTATCGCGTCGATGCTCGAGCTGGCTCGAAGGGGCCTGCATCCCAAGACGGGCGAGCCCCTCGAGCCGCTCGTCTTCTCGGAGCTCGGGGTGCCTGCGATGCCGCAGCAGGCGCCCGAGCCCGAGGCACCTGACTAGTGGGCGGAAGTGCTGGCGGGGGGCGCGGTGCGAGTGGGGACTGCCCGGCGTTGCGCCGTTAGTGACCCTCGCACCGTTGCTCCCCAGCCCCGCGCACGGAAGGAACAGATCCGCTGCACTTAAGGGCCCCTTAAGTGCAGCGGGCTGTCTTGGCCTCCATCGCGTCGATGCTCGAGCTGGCTCGAAGGGGCCTGCATCCCAAGGCGGGCGTGCCCCTCGAGCCGCTTGTTTTCTCGGAGCTCGGGGTGCCTGCGATGCTCAGCAGGCGCCCGAGCCCGAGGCACCTGAATTGTGGGCGGGTGCGGGCGGGGGGCGCGGTGCGAGTGGGGACTGCCCGGCGTTGCGCCGTTAGTGACCCTCGTACCGTTGCTCCCCTGCCCCGCGCACGGCGCGGAGAGCGCCCCTTGTTGGATGAGGGCCCTCTCTCGTTCTTTTTTTCGAGGCGTGTTCGTGATTCACCTGCACGCTCTCGGCACTGTCCTCACTGTCCTCCTTACTCTTCCCACGTCTCTCCTCTGCCCCTCGTCCCTCCTTCCTTCGGCGCTCCGTCCTTCATCCTTTGTTCTCGCCTTTCCTTCCGCCCACTTTGCCGCTTCCCAGTGTATCCTTTCTGACTGTCCCTCTTCAGTCCTCTCTTCCCTTTCCTCCACATCCCTTGCCTTTCAGTGAGAAGCTATGTAACTCGGCAAAGGCGATGAACTATGCTCCGGTAGTGAGAAATGTGGTTGCACAGAGCGGTCGGTGTTGTTGAGCGGAGCTGCCCCTGGGAGAAGTCATCGTCAGCCAGAAGGGTCGTGAAATGGCAGGGGTGGGGTGGGAAAGAAATGCAGACTGCCGAAACTGTCGCTCGCGAAAGCGAGCAGCTCCTCTTTGAACGCACGGCAGACACCCTGTCACAGTCGTGGTGGTGGCGCGCAGGGAGGAGGCGGAGCAACCGGGCTCGTCGGGGAGGGCAGGGCCAGGCAGCCTGTGGATGTGCGCCCCCCCCCCCCCCCCCAAGGCAGAAGCAACATTTCGTGGCGTGTCGCGTGCCTTTCTCAGGGCGCGCCGTCTGATGAGAGCGGGGGTCCCCTCTGCTCCGAACCGGGCTCGTCGGGGTGGGCAGGGCCAGGCAGCCTGTGGATGTGCGCCCCCCCCCCCCCCCCCAAGGCAGAAGCAACATTTCGTGGCGTGTCGCGTGCCTTTCTCAGGGCGCGCCGTCTGATGAGAGCGGGGGTCCCCTCTGCTCCGTCCGGTTGTTTGTGGGCGAGTGCGGAAGCAAAGCATGTCGGACGGGGCCAGGGCGAGGATAGATCCGTTCCAGAGCGTTCGGGAACTCTCCCTGAGCATCCCGGGACGCTCTGCGAAGGCCGCGGCGCCCGATACATCGTCTAGAACCGCCAGATTTCAGAGATCCACGATCTTCCCTCCTCCGGATTTATCCTCGTCCTGGCTTCGTCTTCGCATGGCAACCGTTGGCAGTTCAGACCTGATGTGCTGCTCCGCCCTCAGGACGCTTGGCGCCGCTTGGCGCCAGAGCGTGCCTGCACTGGCCGCTGCACCGACTCCTGCTCCTTCTCCCCCTGCTTCCTGGTTCCTGCTGCCCCTCCTCCTCCTCCCGGTTCCAGACTCATCAGGTTTGGTGATGCCGTTGCTCTCTCTCTCTCTCTCTCTCTCGGGCTCCTCCTGGTCCCTGTCGCCCGGCGCCCCCTGTCTTCCACCCCTCGGGCGGCGTGGACTGTGCACATGCGCCGAGCCTGGCCAGGTCCATCAGGGGCCCGGGATCGGTGTCTGTGGCTTTTGCCATGCAACCTCCCCCCCCCCACGCTTAAGTCGGGCCTGTCCCTCTACAGGAGGAGTATCCTAAACGAGTCAAAAGATAGCCTGGGGACGATGTTTGGATCATTTCGGAATGTTTTGTGCTACTTGTTGGGGGCATTTTTGAGATTTCGTGCAGAATCCGCCTGTAGGGGGACAGGCCCGACCTGACCCTGCGCCCCATCACCCTGCTCTCCCTCCTGCGGCCCGCTTGACGCCCTCGCCTCTCGCCCCCGTGCTCTTGACGCCCCCCCCTCTTCCCTCGCTGCTTCTCCCGTGCTGGCTGGCTGTTTGTCGATCGTCGAGGCTCGAGGCCTCCAGGGCCCCCAAAACGCCAGTCCCTGGATCCCTCTCGGGGTCCGCACTGGCCAGCTTGTCGAGCCGCGTCCAGCGGTGGCGGCGAGGACCCGCAGAAGCGGCCAAACACCCCCGAAACGAACGATCGAGGCTCGAGGATCGGTGCTCGAAGCTCGACGCCGTGGAGGGTTTGGAGGCCGCTGGAAGTCTCGAGAGGTCCCCCAGAGGTCCCAAGACGCCTCCGAAGCCCCGCCGAGGCCGTAAGAGAGCAAACAACACCGACACGTCTTAGTTCCCGACCCTGGATCCAGGCGTCCGACGAGGTGCTCCACGGCACGCGCCCGCTGGACTGCTGAGGGTTCCGAGGTCCTGCGGGGGCAGTTTTCCGTCCCGGGTCTGCTCCCGATGGCCCCGGGGCCCCGGCGGCCAAGAGGGGGGTGATGACTAGGGGGGGGATCTCTTGGCGGGGGCCATGAGATCTCCCCAGATTTCATGGCGCTTCTTCTTATCTCATCACTTAGGAAGGGAAACACACACACAGACACAATGAATCGTCGATCCCCAGGAAAAGATGGGAAACTATTGGAAGTGGGGGGGAAGACGAAAACCCAGAAAATGCGAGAACATATCGGACATCCTTTTATTTGTGTGTGTGTGTGTGTCCCAGGGTCCCTTCAATCACGTCCCCAGCCCCCCCTCCTGGGCCGCGCACGTGCCAGCGGCCATGATCTGCGCCCCCCCCCCTCTCTGGGACGCCCCCCCCAACTCTCGGCCGCCCCCCGACGAGACGGCTCCTGGAGGCCCGAGGCGGAGCCGCGCCCTCTGGAGGCTGGAGGCTCGGGGCTCGAGAGGGCGCGCCTCGCCGCGCCGCAGGGAGGAGGGAGGAGGGAGGAGGGAGGAGGGAGGAGGGAGGAGACGACGACGACACGACGACGGCGACTCCGACGTTGACGCCGACGCCGACGACGACGACGGCGACGCCGACGTTGACGCCGACGCCGACAACGACGACGACGACGGCTTCGCCGACAGGGGGACGTGGGCCTGCTGGAGCCCTGGGGCTTCGAGGCCGCGGAGAGGACCCCCCTGGACTGGGCCCGGCTGGCCGTCAGGAACTCGCAGCTGGACCAGGCGAGGGTCATGCTTCCTGTTTTTTTGTTGTTGTTGCTGTTTTGTTTGTTGAACATTATTTATTCTAAAGAATAATTATTGTTGGGCCCCCTGGTGCGCGCCCCCCCTGCGCCGCCTAGGCCGCAGCTACATTTTCATCATTTTCTTGAGGAAGCCTCAGAAAAGAGGGTGTGTACAGGATCCGGTTGTTTTGTTGTAATCCGCTTTCCCTTGCAAAAAACAATAGAAAATGACATTTCTTGTTCTAATATAATCAAATTTCAAGAATCCCTTGCAAAAAATAAGGTAAAGTGGACATTCGCGCGCGCAAGACGAAATCCTTCCAAAACCTTAGTGTTCGCAGCGATTTTAACATAAAAACATCAAAAAACCAATGGTTTTTCAACAAAAAAATTGTCAAAATCTCATCCCGCGCGCTCTTGCGGATTCGTAGGAAACCCAACACTTTTTAAACATTTCTGTCAAACGGGCTTTTGCGAGCAACTTTTTCGAACTTCTGCGACAACGGTTGCGCACCTGCCAGGGCCATCATCCCTGTCAAATAATACCATGCGGGACACATTCGTTTTTTCTTCGCGCGCGCACGCCGTCGTCGTCGGCCGCGGGGCCCTGAATAGTAGCCACGGTCGTCCGCATGCCACGAAGTGAAGTGTCCGAACGTCATAGGGCGGGAAGCTGGGTGTGGGTGGTGGCGAAGAGTCATTTGGAAATTTGGTAGAGCTTGAACCGGCCCCCCCACAAAGTGGGGGTATTGCCCGCCTCCTATGAAAACCCTGGCACTGGTGAGAACGGGGTGTCCCCACGTGCTAGTAATTGTTGTTGTTGTTGTTGTTGTTGTTGCTGCTGCTGCTGTTGTTGTTGTTGTTGTTGTTGTTATTGTTGTTGTTGTTGTTGTTGTTGTTGTTGTTGTTGTTGTTTCTCTCTCTCTCTCTCTCGTTCTGTCTCTCTGTCTATGTTTGCGCTCGCTCTCTCTCTCTCTTGTTTCCTCGCTCTCGAACAAATGCAAGAATAGCAACACTACGAAAGACATCATAATAGCAGTGACGCCAATATTAAGAATCTGACATATCCCACGGGTTAAGAACACATTGAACACTGCGCGCTGTATGAAGACAAAGCGAGGCACACTATCAGTAACACTACTACTCTCAATTAGCAACCATACAAATGAATGATATTTCGAGTGGGCAGACGCATGCGAGCCATACGCGTGAATAACGATCATACCACTGCGAGTCATACCACTGGATGTATTATTATTCTCACTAGTACGAGTATTACTAACACGTGTAGTTCGTTTGAACACAATAATAATGACCATGCCCGTAATATAGTTTTTATTGTTGAGAATTGTGTATATGCAGTGCGCGACGAATGCTACAGCAAACCAGGGTTTTCAGGATAAGGAGGACAGTTTCGCGAAATCTAGCAACAATAATGCGACAACTGCTGCCGTTTCCCCAGAATCGTGCTTGCACTAGGGATGTCCGATTTCTTTTCTCAGGAGCTGGGCCTGTGTGGCGGTCTGGCGGCTATGTTGTCGCCGTCGCCGCATCGTCGCCGCCTCATCGCCGCCCGTCGTCTGGTCCTGTGTGGCGGTCTGGCGGCTATGTTGTCGCCGTCGCCGCCCTGTGTCCGCCTCATCGCCGCCCGTCGTCTGGGCCTGTGTGGCGGTCTGACGGCCATGTTGTCGCCGCCGCCGCCCCGTCGCCGACCGTCGTCTGGGCCTGTGTGGCGGTCTGGCGGCTATGTTGTTGCCATCGCCGCCTTGTGTCCGCCTCATCGCCGACCGTCGTCTGGGCCTGTGTGGCGGTCTGGCGGCTATGTTGTCGCCGTCGCCGCCCTGTGTCCGCCTCATCGCCGCCCGTCGTCTGGTCCTGTGTGGCGGTCTGGCGGCTATGTAGTTGCCGTCGCCGCCTTGTGGCCGCCTCATCGTCTCCCGTCGTCTGTGCCTGTGTGGCGGTCTGGCAGCTATGTTGTCGCCGTCGCCGCCCCGTCGCCGCCACGTCACCGACCGTCGTCTGGACCTGTGTGGCGGTTTGGCGGCTATGTAGTTGCCGTCATCGCCTTGTGGCCGCCTCATCGCCGCCTGTCGTCTGGGCCTGTGTGGCGGTCTGACGGCTATGTTGTCGCCGTCGCCGCCCCGTCGCCGCCACGTCGCCGCCCGCCGTCTGGGCCTGGGTGGCGGTCTGGACCAGATGTTGTCGCCGTCGCCGCCATATAGCAGATGTTGTTCACATCTCTCTCCCTATATATACGTGTGTGTATATATACATATGTATATTCATATGGACATTGCGCACCGCAGGGTTTGCACCACAACCATTATCCCACATACATTTCGCAACATACATATTGCACCACATATATAGTACAACCTAGATTGCATCACGTGAGTTCGCCTTTCCAAAGAAGAGAACCGACTCGACCCCCCCAGGATTATCGCCATCTCTTTTCGTATTGCAGTGTACAGATGATTCTGTCCCATCGTCCATCCTAAATATGAGCTCGTACCATCCCAGCCAAGCCGGTATCGCCCCCCCGCCATCACCTGCAAAAAATGCAATGCGCGCGCGCTCGTTCATCACATATCAGAAGTTTCCAAGAATCCTTTGCAACAAAAACGACACGAAGTGCACACGTGCGCGTCGTTGCGCGCGCATGCCAAAATCTTTCCGAACAACCTCACGTTTCGTAAGGATGGCACAATCCAGTGTCCAAGCAACGTTTTAAACACACAGGGTTCCCCAACACGGATGTCCTAAAGAAAGCTTGCGCGCGAACGCGCTCTTGCGAATCCGTAAGGAAACCATCGCTTCTCAACGTTTTCATAAAATTCTACCAAGCGGGTTTCGCGCGCGCATGCCGAAATCGTTCGAACGCTCTTGCGCGCGTGCTGGTGTGGCACGATCCGTGTCAAATAGTTCCGTGCGGGCCACCCTCGCGCGTCTGCCGCGCGCGCATTTCGAATTCTTTTCAAAACCTTCACCAGCGACGCGAAAAGACCGTCATGGTCGTCGGCGTGATCAGCATCGGCGCCGTCACTGGCTGCCCCGTCGTCGCTGTCAGCATCGTCACCAGCATCGCTACTAGGTGCCATGATACCGCGCCCGCCCAAGTCGCCGACTCGCATTGAAGTGCCCGCTGGGATGTGCTGAGCGGTCAGCGCCACCGCGTTCGCGTCGGTCGCGCCGCATTGGCTGGCAGCTGCGCGGGCTAGCGCGGGCATGCGCGGCCGCAGAGATGCACCAGCCAACGCCAAACACCCACCGCAATCGCTACCGCATGGGTTTTGCAAACCAAGTTGCGGGCGGGTGGGTGGGATGATTGCGCGAACAGTGGAGTTCACAACCTCAAGTTCGGTAAGTGAACTGCACCACGCAGATTGCTCCACATAATTTGCACATCTTAGACAGCACCACCTACATCGTGCAGCATATGTTCTCTTTTGCAACAGAGTATTAGAAACTAGCTCTCCCCTGAACTTACGGGACCTCCCTGGGGATGTGCAATTGACATCGGTTTCTGCCCCATCGTCCACCGTAAGAGTGAGTTCATCGCATCCCAGCTAAACTGGTATCTCCTCGTCCTTCTGCAAATATTACGTGCGCGCACTCTTTTGCCCAACATCAGCAGTTTTCGAACATCCCTTGCAACAGATGAGATGAAGTGCGCACGCGCCCGTCGTCGCGCGCATGCCGAAATCCTTTTAAAAAACCTTAGGTTTCGCAAGGATGTCGAAATGGAGCGTCGCGAAAACATACAAAAACACATGGTTTCGCAACGTGGATGTTCAAACAAAGCTTGCACTCGCACTCTTGCGCATTCTTATGAAAGCCATCGGTTCTCAACCTTATCGGAACATGCTACCAAAAGGGCTTCCCGTGCGCGCATGTCGAGATCGTTCGAACGCCCTCGCACGCGTGCTGTCGCAATAACCCTTTGCAAACAGAGGGACGAAACGCGCGCGCGCGTCGTCGCGCGCGCGTGCCGGCATCTTTCAAAAACCGTAGGTTTCGCACGGATTTGAAAAATGAGTGTCCCGCAAACGTGTACAACACATGGTTGTGCAACAAAAGAACCTGCGCGCGCACTTGCGAATTCATAAGAAAACCGTCGGGCTTTCAACATTGTCATCAAATTCTGCCAAGCGGGCCTTTCGCGCCGCATGCCGAGCTCATCCGAACGCCCTTTCGAGCGTGTTGGGGGGCACGATCCGTGCCAAATTATATTACGCGGGCCACTCGCGCGCGTCGGCCACGCGCGCGTGTCGAACTCCTGTCAAAACTTTCATCACCGTCGCGAGGACATCGTCATCGTTACCGGCGGGCGTGATCAACATCGGCGCCGTCATTGGCCTTGCCGTCGTCATCGCCACCATCGCCAGCATCGTCGCTACTCTCATGGTCCTGTCTGCCGTTGTCGGCGTCGCCATGATACCGCGCCCGCCCACGTCACCGACTCGCATTGAAGTGCCCGTTGAGGAGTGCCCAGCGGTCAGCGCCACCGCGGCCGCGTCGGTCGCGCTGCACTAGCTGGCTGCTGCGCGCGCGAGCATGCGTTGGTTAACGCGGCCGGAGAGATACACCAGCCAACGCCAAGCACTCATCGCAGTTGTCGTCGCATGTGTTTTGCAAACCAAATTGCGGGTGGGTGAGTGGGATGATTGCGCGAGCCGTGGAGCTGACATCTCATTGCGAACATTGGTGAGGTGCACCACGTAGATGGCTCTACGCAATCTGAGCCGCATATATTGCCCAATAACACATTGTTCGGGGTCCTCGGTGGTTAACATACAAATATTAATAACATTCGGCACACTACGATTCGTATGTATACGATTCGCAATACCAGCCATGATAACAAGTCAGAAGAATACCCACACGAATAGTAACACGCATCGGGATAAACATGAACATTCCGAGGTCGCGTGGGCCTCTTAATCATGATGTTCATGCATCTAGTTATTCTCGTATGCTTCCCCGCGCCCCCTTCGACAAGGCTTCCCACCGTTCTCGGCTTCCTGGGCCCTTTCCGCGGGCCCCAGGGCCACTAACACACACACGCACGACCGTCTGGAGATGCGCGCGGACTTCGTCTTCTTTTTGTCAGCACTGGATCCCCCCTTGGCGCGCAGGGGGTCCATCTGATGGGGCCACGACGAGGATAAGTCCGTTCCAGAGCCTTCCGGAACGGTCTCAGGGCGTTCCCGAATGCTTTGAGAAGGCCGCGGCGCCCGAGACATCCCCCAGAGCCGCCTGATCTCAGAGATTCTCTATTTATCTTCTCCAGGTTTTATCCTCGTCTTGGCCTCGTCTTAGCGCCGACCCCAAAAAACTTGCGAACTTCTGGAAGGTCCTCCCCCTTTTCATCACTGGTCCGAAACATACCCCTTCCCGGGTCAGCCAGGGTGAGGTGGGCCGCCCGCGGGATTGGGCGCGTGCTATTGTGCCCGATGAGCTTGCCCGCGCGCCAGCGTAGCATCCGCGCGTCAAAACGCAACGGCGCGTTCAATGGTTTGCTGTCCGATTGCAGCGGCAAGCGCTGCTTTTTGTTAATGACTTCTGGGTTCATCGTGGTGCGCGTGCGGCTCAAATCTGCATGGGAGTTGTTGCGACTTTCCCATTTGATGGAACACCGGCATCTCCTCCCTATCCTGGCAACCGATGCGTCTGAGCTTGCCCTGAGGAGCGACGTTGCAACGTCGCGCCCCCCAGGGGTCGCAGCGGCCGCGTCGGGGGCGGCTCTTGGGGGCACGCGATGTGCTCGAGAGCGTTTTTTGGGCGTGCCGCCACCTCGGCTTGGTACGGGCATGTGCCTGCACCAGCAGGCAAACCCGGGCGTTGCTGGGCTGGTTCTCGGACGCCTCGGCTGGGTACAGGTGTATGTTCCTGGGCTTCATGACATGCCAGGACCTAGCCGGGGTGATTCTCGGAGGGCCGTCCAAGGGGGGCGGCCTTTGGCGACCTCGCCCAGCGCTCGGTGCCGCGATGCCTCTGCATCGAGCGATTCGCGATTGGGCGGTTGTCGCGCCTTGACGTTCGTGCCAGAATTGCCCGCCTGCGCCCCCGAGTTTGCGTTGACCCCGCAACGCCAGGATAAGAGTTTCTGGAGGGGCACCTCCAAATTAGCCGGTCCAGTTCGACAGCGACCAACGCGGAGTCGGCCACTCCGCCGATTCGAACGCACGCGCAATCGGTGCCAACGTGTGCCTGGCCTTAGACAGCTCTCTGTAATGTTCAATCGGCCGTCGCTTCTACATGTGCGCAGCCGCCGTCTGCTGCGACGAGTCGCCCCCCCCGCCCCTTGCCACCCTGTCTAGGTAAGGGTACGGTAGGTTTGCGTCGTGTCGACCGGCGGCGACCCCGCCGCCGACGTTCAATGTTGAACGCCGACGGCGGCCCAGAATCGGTCGATGTTGAACGATCGGACGTTGCGGCAGCGGCCGATCGTTCAAAGTTGAACGATCCAGCGCGGTGTCAGGAACCAACGCCAGGGTCGACACGGCACGGACCTGCAGTACGGGTCTGTTTCTCGCTCCAGACTTCAAGGGCTCCCAGCCAGGTGCGCCCGGCCTGCACGCAAGGGGAGCTCTTGGAAAAGGGCCCGGAGAGGGGGCGGGGGGGATCGGTCCTGCTGCTGCTGCTGCTGCTGCTGCTGCTGCTTCGCGTTCTCCTTCGCCTTCCAACCAGAACAGATCCTTTTCCTTCTCCTTCGCCTCCCTTCTCCTTCGCCTTTTCCTTCGCCTTCCTTCTCCTGCTTCGCTCTGCTGTTTCGCCTTCTCCTTCGCCTTCTTGCTCCTTCTTCTTCGCCTTCCCTCGGACGGGGCTAGGACTAGTATGAGTCCGTTCCAGAGCGTTCTGGGACGCTCTTAGACGGTTCCGGAACTCTCTGAAGTGGCCGCGGCGCCCGAGACATCCTCCAGAGTCGCCCGATCTCAGAGATTCTCGATATACCCTTACCAGAACTTATCATCGTCCCGGCTTCGTTTTCTTCCCCTTTCGCGTCATTCCTCACCTCTGCCCCCTCGAAAAAATTAGTCTGGCGAAGGACCCAACCATTTGCAGTTGTGAGTGCAGCAACTGTGAATATCTTCTTTGGTGGCGCTCCCTATGTGGCCATGAAACGTGTGAGCGGTGTGCCGAAATAGGTGCGGCGGACGCATGTGGACGGTGGCACTGGTGCCTGCGGTGGAGCTCCCTATGGGGCCACGAATCGTGTGAGTGTGGTGTCGAAATGAGTGTCGGGGGCACATGCGGCAGTGGTACTGGGGCCTTCTGTGGAGCTCCCTATGTGGCCACGAAGCGGATCAGGTGTGTGCCGAAATGGGTGTGGGGGCCGCAAGTGTACGGTGGTTTTAGTGCCTTCGGTGGAGCTTCCTAAGGGGCCACGAAGCGGATCAGGTGTGTGCCGAAATGGGTTTGGGGGTCGCAAGTGGACGGTGGCACTGGTGCCTTCTGTGGAGCTTCCTATGTGGTCACGAAGCGTGTGAGCGGTGTGCCGAAATGGGTGTGGGGGACGCAAGTGGACGGTGGCAGTGGGGCCTTCGGTTAAGCTCCCTATGGGGCCACGGCACGAGTGAGGGTGTGCCGAAATGGGTGCGGGGGTCGCAATTGGACGGTGGCATTGGTGCCTTCGGTGGAGCTCCCCATGGGGCCATGAAACGTGTGAGCGGTGTGCCGAAATGGGTGTGGGGGACGCATGTGGACGGTGGCTTTGGTGCCTTCTGTGGAGCTCCCCATGGGGCCATAAAACGTGTGAGGGGTGTGCCGATATGGGTGTGGAGGACGCATGTGCACAGTGGCACTGGTGCCTTCGGTGGAGCTCCCTATGGGGTCATGAAACGTGTGAGGGATGTGCCGAAATGCGTGTGGGGGGCGCATGTGGACGGTGGCACCGGTGCCTTCGGTGGAGCTCCCTAAGGGGCCACGAAGCGGATCAGGTGTGTGCCGAAATGGGCGTGGGGGACAAGTGGACGGTGGCATTGGGGCCTTCGGTTAAGCTCCTCATGGGGCCACGGAACGTGTGAGGGGTGTGCCGAAATGGGTTTTGGGGTCGCAAGTGGACGGTGGCACTGGTGCCTTCGGTGGAGCTCCCTATGGGGTCATGAAACGTGTGAGGGGTGTGCCGAAATGCGTGTGGGGGGCGCATGTGGACGGTGGCATTGGTGCCTTCGGTGGAGCTCCCTCAGGGGCCACGAAGCGGATCAGGTGTGTGCCGAAATGGGCGTGGGGGACGCAAGTGGACGGTGGCATTGGGGCCTTCGGTTAAGCTCCTCATGGGGCCACGGAACGTGTGAGGGGTGTGCCGAAATGGGTTTTGGGGTCGCAAGTGGACGGTGGCACTGGTGCCTTCGGTGGAGCTCCCTATGGGGCCATGCAACGTGTGAGGGGTGTGCCGAAATGGGTGTGGAGGACGCATGTGCACGGTGGCTCTGGGGCCTTCGGTGGAGCTTCCTATGGGGCCACGAAACGTGCGAGGAGTGTGCCGAAATGGGTGTCGATGATTATGACGATAACGGCGATGCTGATGGCGATGATGGTGATGTTGACGATGATGACGATGATGCTGATGGTGCTGATGATGATGATGCTGATGATGAGAAGAGGGAGGAGGGGGCTAAGGAGGATTGAAGGAAGGAGGAAGGAACGCGGAGACCGTCTCTTCAAAACGAGGACCCAGCACCACAGGATGGTTGGGAACAAACTTGCATGAGCATGCCCATTCGGACGTGCGCGCGAATTTTCGGAATTTGCGCTGGCCCCCCCCCTGCGTCGCCTCCAGCGCCGCCCCTGGCGCCATCCGCACGCCAGGGAGGGCATCTGGCGCCGATCCAGCGAGTCCCTCGTCGTCCCCCCGCCTCCTCCTGCTCCTCGTCCCTCGGGGGGTGGCGCGCGCAGCTCGTGGTGCCCCAGGTGGCCGGGGCTCGAGGAGAGAGGATCGAGGATCGAGGACCGAGGATCGACGATTTTGGCCGTCCTCTGCCCACTTCGGGCTTCCGAGGAACGAATACAGTGAGCGGCTTGAATAAGGAACACTTACTTTTCAAAAGGGGCTCGGTCGTTCCTTAGGCTTGCATGCGTTATTCACAGTTCCTTATGCGTTATTTATTATCCATCGTTCCTTATGCGTTATTCCTTGGGATAAAAAGGGGCTTCGTTCCTTATTTATCGTTCCTTAGGTCAGGCCGATGACTGTATATATGTTTGACGTCTTCGGATCCTGTTGGGGCCTCTGCCGGCCTCGGGCCTTCGGCGGCCTCTGGGGACCTCCGGAGACCTCCGGAGAGGGGGTGGTGCGAGAGAGGCCGGGGGGCGAGGTGGGGGGAGGAGGGAGGAGAGGTCGGGGAGGCAGAAGGGATGGGTGAAGGGGGAGAGGGGGGGCAGGAGGCTGGGTGGGGATCGGTCTGGTTCTCTGGGTGTAGTGGTGCAGCGGGGATCTCACCAGCAGCGCTCCCTCCAGGGACGCCATCCCCCCGACCATGCACCTTCGGGCCCAGGTCCCGTGGCCAATCCTGCTTTACGTGGGCTTCAACGTGGCTCGCCTGGTGACCAACTTGCTCTTCCACTTCGACCTGCTGGAGGTGGTCAAGGAGCCCCTCGCGCCGTCCCTAGCCTGCAGCCGTTTTGGCTCGAGCCACTCTGGCTCGAGTTGCCATTCTCGATAGGCTGCCGACGATAGGCTGCCGTGATAGGCAGTCCGCCGCCAGCCAGCGGCGGCCGACCTGTCAGCATGGCTCGCCGGGGGGCGGGCCGCACCAAAGCCATCATGCACGCGATTTACCAAGCGTCCGATGTCATGCCTTCTGCCGTTTGCAGCGACCTCTTGTGGCCTCGATTTGGTGGCCGCCGCACGCGCTGACGCCGTGGATGTCCGCCTGGAGCGGGCTGGTCGAGCCCTGGGTGCTGAGCTAGCCAGTGCCGTGCTGGCCCGCGAGGAAGGTTCCGCTGCCCCCCCCCGGAGCAACGTGGACGTGACTCTGCCGATCCAGCCACCCTCGCGAAGCTGCGGCGCCTGCAGTCATGGGCCCCCCCCACGGTGCTGCGGGCCGTGCGGCCAAGGGCATTGCTGCTTCTTTTGCTATTGACGGTGCGGCCAGCCAGCCAGGTACGCCAGAACCGCGCGGGCCGCAGCGGAGCGCGCGCGAGGCGGGCACAGCCGGAGGCTCGCTGGAGTCGTCTTGGTGGTGCCTGGGCTTTTGCTTCTGATGCTCCTCGGCGCGGCCCTGACGGTCGCCCGCTTGGCCAGCCCTGAGCTGCAGTAGACCAGGGGGCGCGCCAGAGCGAGGGCGGTGCTCACGAGACGTAGAAGCAACGCATCCTCGCCCTCCTGCTTTCCGCCTCCGGTTTCCTCCTCCGCGTCTGCTCCGCTGCCCCCCCGGCGCAGGGCGTTGTTTGCCGCGGGAGCTGGCCCGTCGGCGCCCGGCCGTGGGCGCGCCGATGCTAGAAGCGGTCGGGCTCCCACGCCCCCGCTGCCTCCCAGGCCCGCTGCGCTGCAGGCAGGGCTCGGAGGTCGACAGACCCCCGAATTGCAGCCAAGGCGCTGCAGTAATGGACGGTTTGGGTTCGGACGGGGCTCGAGGATCCTCAGGTTCCTCCAGTGCTGTTCCTCTTGCCCTCCCGAGGCACGGAGGCGCTCGCGGGTCCAAGGTAGGGGCTTCGTTCTTTATGTAGCGTTCCTTCTCTCAGCGGCCCGACTGTACCCCGACACGTCGATTGGCGAAGTGGCCGTCTTCGCTTCGCGAGAGGGCGTCGCGGCCGTCCTTTCTGCGGGTCCAGGTCCGTCGGGTTCGGTCCGAGGCCGTTTTCACTAAAGGGTGGTTTACTGAAGGGGAGCTTGTCCACCTCCGAAAGACGCTGAAGTAAGGAGCGGCTCTGGTTCAGAGAAGGAGCCAGCTGTCCCTTGGGTGCTTCCGTGGTTGCTCCTCCATAGCGCCCGTCGTGCGCCCATGCGCCTCTGCTTCTCTTCGGACCCACAAAATGGTTCGTGCCTTGTTTTTAGCGTTCCTTGCGACAGTAGCTCGATTGTACTCCCCTGGCAAGCTTGCCCAGCTCCAGCTCCTCCTGCTTTAGAGGTCCCAGCCCCTTCCCCCGGGACTGGTTTTTCGTCCACGAGTCGCTCTTCGACAGCCCAAAGGGCCCAGAATGGGCCCCCCCGAATGCAGAAGACCCTCAGTGTTTTGTTTGTTCCTCCCAAGACGCGAGGACCCAGAGTCTGGGCCCCTTCTGTTTCTCTCCCGCCTCCTTTCAGGGGAGTCCAAGAAGAGGGTGAGGTCGAGGAGGGGAAGGTGGATCTCATGGCCGCGGCCACGAAACCTTCCAGACTTCAGGGCCCCCTGCTCTTCTTTTCACGCGTTTCCCGTCTCCTCCTCGCCAACGCGCGGGCCTCGGGCCATGCTGCAGTGACCCCCCCCCTCTCCCTTGCCCTCCTTGCTGGCGCACACGCGCCGACGAGGGGGCGCCAGCGAGACGGGGCACCGACGCAGATACTCCCGCGCGCGTCTGTTTTCGGGACTTCGGTTATGATGTTCCAACCTGCTTCAGCCTTGATTCCCAGGACGAATTTCGAGCACAATAAAAAAGTACCGAGACTCGAGGGTTTTCACGTGCCGGGCCCTGGGAGGCACTCGCCTGACACTGTTTCGACACTCTTTCGACACTCTTGCGACACTATTTCGACACTTTTCCGGGTGCTCGACATGATTTCTGGGATGCGGTCCCTACGTAGGATAAGAGCAACATGAGACTTCGGGATCTCCCCACCAGGGGGCCACGTGCGAACCCTGCCCCCTACCCCCCACGATTTCTGAGGGGGAGGGTGGGGTTCGCCTCTCGGGGAAACGTAAGACTCGAGTGCGCCGGAACTCGGGTTCGCCGACTTTTTTTGACGAGCGCGTCCTGGATTTTGACGGTTCCGTTTTCGTGGGATATCTGCAGCGGGAGCCCGCGTCAAACTTCGGATGGGGCCTCGTCATTTTTATGATGGCCCCCGTCAGGCCAACCCGAGTCCCCCGTGCCCGAGTCTTACTTCTCCCCGAACTTCGTCTGGGAGCTCCCGAGCGAAGCGAACCCTGCCCTCCCCCTCAGAGATCGTGGGAGGGTAGGGGTAGGCTTCGCATGTGGCCCCCTCTCCACGTGGTACGATTTCTGAGGGGGGGAGGGTGGGGTTTGCTTGGGAGCTCCCGAGCGAAGCGAACCCCGCCCTCCCCTTCAGAGATCGTGGGGGGGGGGGGGGGCGTAATTAGGCCTCGCATGTGGCCCCCCTAGCCGCGACCCCCCCCCGCGCGCGCGCAAGCGCCCCTGCCCCTGCCCCTGCCCCGCAGGACGCGGTCGAGGGCCTGCGCGCGCCCCGGTGAGGGCCCCGCGGGGGCTGCCCTCCGCGGCACTTTTTTCCGGCGCGGGCTGCCTCCTCCTCCTCCTCCTCCTCCTCCTCCTCTGCCCACCATGGGTGAATGCGCTGCTGGCTGTATAGAGAGCGGGCTGGCGCGGCACCCCATTCACCACCCACCAAACCACCCCAACCCAACCCGAAGGCCTCAATTTGGCCTCCATTTCCAGTGGGGGGGAGGACGTTGCATCTTCGGGGAACCCCTCCTGACCCCCAAATTGGTGTATTCTCTCGTGCCCGACGTGGGCTCGATGCGGACTCGACGCGGAGTTGGCGCGGACTCGACGCGGATTCGGCACGGATTCGACACGGCTTTGACACGGACCCGACGAGTCCAACATGGATTCGACACCGATTCGACGCGGACAGGGACGAGAGGGTACAGACAAGGTCTCCCAAGGATGAAACATAAGACCGGGCTGGCGTGGCACCCCATTCACCACCCACCAAACCACCCCAACCCAACCCGAAGGCCTCAATTTGCCCTCCATTTCCACCATGGGTGAATGCGCTGCTGGCTGTATAGAGAGCGGGCTGGTGCGGCACCCCATTCACCACCCACCAAACCACCCCAACCCAACCCATTTGGCCTCCATTTCCAGTGGGGGAAGGGGGTCGGGGAGCATCGACAAATCACATGTAGAGTCCATATCCCCCCCAACCCGCAATTCGGGTCTTCGGGTTGGGTTGGGGTGGTCACGGTAGGTAGTCGCCCATGACCATGCGCACGTCAGTTGGCACAGGGCCTTCGTTTCCAGCTCGCTGCGGCGCGCAGCGAGGACCCTGCTCCAGCGGACAGCGCCGGCCCTGTTCCTCTGATGTCTCCTCCGTTCCCTGGCCTGATGGCCCACCCCGCCTGGGAACGTCCGGTTGTCGCAATCGAAGGCCTGACGCCGATCTGTGGGCGATCTATCGCCGTTTCCAGCTCGATGTTCCCCCCTCCCCCCGAGCCAGTTCCTCACGATCGTTCCCCCTCACAGCTCCGTGGGCCGCGGCGTTGTCGACAAGGCTCTCCCATTTGCAATGGCAGCTGCGGGAGGCCGCGCGTTTTCGGGAGCTCAAAGCGTGCCTTCAGGCGCACGAGGATGGGGATGGCGAGGATCGTGAAGGAGGGATGCTGTCGGGGAAGGCCACTGGAGGACTGCGGTCGAGATAATGGCGGCCCGCTCGAGCGTTCTTCGTACCGTTCGCTTGGCCTCCCCGGAGGCTTCTCGTCGCCACGGCGGAATCCGCTCCGACGACAGGTCGGGCTGGACCCCTGGGGGCGTCCAGGGGGCAGCTTCTGAGCCCATTTGGGGGCTGGGCCGGAGAGCCGCCGTCGTCTCCGCCGGCCCTCCCAGGCAGGCGGGAGCACGGGCATGGACCGACGAAGGGACCAGTGGGGACGAGGTTGAGGGCAGCACCAGGGGAACAAACGGCGACATAAACATAAACAAAAACTCGGAGGTCCGCGCGAATTTCTCGGATCGGCGCTGGGGCCCCCCGGCGGCGCCTCCGGCGCCGCCCCTGGCGCGCTCCGCGCGCCAGGGAGGGGGGTCCAGCGCCGATCCGAGAAATCCGCGCGGACCTCCGAGTTTTTATGTTTATGCCACTTTAAACACGGAAGAGGATGAGGATGTCGGAAATTGGAACATAGACATTACCAGTGGCGGGCTGTTTTGGAATCCCTGGATTTCTTGAGGGTCAGGGGCGACGTCGGGGTGGTGTGGTGCATAGTTGTTTCCCCGTTATCCGGGGGAAATGACGCACATGTATACACCAGCATCCCGTATACACCAGGATCCGCTTTCCTGTGCGAGTTTCAGTGCAGGGCCGGAAAAAGCGACGGTGTATAGAGTTCGGTTCCCTAGGATGAGCCAGAATCTGCGAGTTGATGAATCCATGGATGATTGTGTAGTGGCTTCATCGGGTGCCATAGGCTCCTGTATCAAAACTATCGAGGCGCGACTTCACTTGATTTGCGGACTGCATGGGAGGTACAACGCAATGAGATGCCTCGCGTTGCAGCACACTGCAGTTGTGCAAAGTGTAGCGCCGCCTAGTATATCAGTGCGTGTCAGCATTATGCAGCATTCAATCGTACATCATAGCATTATGTCGCGACTTACGGCGTAGCAAGGCGTAGCAGAGGATGTCATTGCGTAACAGTGCAACGCCTGCCGTATCCCACCGTACAAGACGCGGTGCAGTATTTCGTAGCCAAGCGTGCGTTATCAGATCAGAGCGCTATCACCGCACAGGCTCGCATATCGTGTCGTTGCATTGCGCAGCAGCGTATTTCACTTCATACCAGTAGCGCACCATTGTAAAGCATTTCGTCGCGTGGCATCCGCATCGTAGACCAGTACCATCACATGTCATAACACATCGTCATACTCCTACAGCGTAAAGTGAGGGCCCATGCCAATAAACACCCTGCTTGCCTCCAGGGTGCCTTGGGTTTCTTGTTTCGATGACATTGCTACGGAACGCGTGACGTCCCCACACCAAAAATCCATGGACGCCCTGGGGTCTGAGGGTTGGGTTTCTTGTGGAAGGTTTCTTGTGGACTTGCCTCCACTGCAGCAGCGCGTTCGCATGTCACATTGTAGAACACCATGCAGATCATGCGGCAATAGTACTTACCCAAGTCTCGAGGAATACACCTGCCGTCGGCCAGCAGCAACCGTTCCTCTGTACAAGAACACGTAACAACCTTTGGAGCAGGCCTGATTGGAGAAAGCCGTGCTGATCGGCAGCAGTTGCGCAATCCATCGTTCGATGACGTGCTTGCGCCGCAAGATGTCAAGACGAGCAGATCTCATTCGACGATGCAGTGGCCGCGCTGGCGTACCCCGCGCGAGGCCGAGTTGAAGAGCACGCGTTCGAAGACGAATCTCTTGGAAGGACACGCACACACATACGTGACAGTAAGAAGCAGCCCCAGACGACTTCGGTCTTTTTTTGTCCGGTCCCCCAGGGCCGCAAGAAACCATCGGGGACGCAAGCCCGGCCCTTGGGAGGGGTCGAGAGAGCTCTGAGGCACGGATGGGCAACATGAGACGGAGAAGATCGGAATGGTCTTGCCGCAAGACCATTCCGATCTTCTCCGTCTTGGGGTGGCCAGGGCATCGGCAGTGAAGCGGCGATGCGGTGCGATCCCTGGAGGAGTACATAGGGGGAGGGGGGGGGCGGACGGGGAGGGCGTCGCGTTGCCCTCGGCGTCCCCGTCTTCGCGCCCTCCGCCCCGGGGAGTCCCTCCGCGCTCGCGCCAGCTTTCGCGGCCAGCGCTTGGGAGGAGGGCAGAAGGTCAGGCTTCCTCACTTGCCTCCATAGGGGGAGGCGGGCCCCTGTGCGCCCAGGATGGTGAAATCATGGCACCCGATGATTTTTAAAATGAAAAAAAACCCTCTGGGCCATAACGCGCGTTATGCACCCTCCCCTCCCCTCCCCTCCCCCCTCCCTCCCCCCCCCGTAGCGTAAGGCCCCCCCCGCCCTCAGTGCGTCCCCGGCGCTGCCGCCGTGCGTCCGGCACCGCAGTTTGGGGGTTTGGGGTGGGGGGCTACGTTATGCCCCGTCCCGTCCCCCCCCCCCCTGCCCCCCCAGAGCGCCCGTTGTGGCCGCGAATCTATAGACGCGCTCTTTCAGGCAGTCTAGATGGGTCTAGCGGTCTGGCGGTCGGGGAGAGGTCTCCAGAGGTCTCCAGGGCCCCGCGGAGGGAGCCCGAACAGGGGTCGGCAGCTTCGGGAAGCGTTGATCTTCGATCCTCGCCCTCCTCCTTGTTCCTTTTTCTTCTTGTTCCTCCCTCCTCCTTCTTCCCTCTTCCTTCTCTTCGTACTCCTCCTCCTCTTGTTCTTCCCTCCTCTTCTTCCTTCTTGTTCTTCCCTCCTCCTCTTCGTACTCCTCCCCCTCTTCCTTCTTGCTCCTTTTTCCTCCCTCCTGCTGCCGCCTCCTCCTCCTCGGCCACGTGTGGTGCAGGGAATGCCAGAGCTTGGAGGAGGACGTAGACAGGAACCAGAAGTACGAGGAGTTCCTCGAGAAGGTGAAGGCCTCGCCCTCCCCACCCTCTGACTCGGATGTGGCCCCGCCGCGCCAGTGGCGGTGGTGGTGGTGGTGGTGGCGTCGCCACGCTTACACGTCGTCACCATCGCTCACCTCGCCACCGGGAAGCTGGATGCACACACTCACACACATGGCGTGAGTTTGCAGCGTACGGTTCAGTGTGGTGGCTTTGTCTCTGTCTCTGTCTCTGTCTCTGTCTCTGTCTCTCTCTCTCTCTTTCTCTCTTTCTTCTGTCTCTCTCTTTCTCTCTCTCAATCTCTCGCTCTTTGTTCTCCCTCTGTATACTATGTATAATATGTTTCTCTCCTTCTATCCATCTCTCTCACACTTCCTCTATTTCTCTCTCTCTCTCTCTCTTTCTTCTTCTTTTTGAAGTGTCCCTTTTCATGCCTCCACTCCATCTCTCTCCGCTGCACAACGAACGATACGTATACATATACGTATATACCCATACGTGTAATAGCACTTGTATATATGTGCCCATACGTGCGCATCATCTGCACGCATGTCCGTGCCTGTGGCTGTAGGATTTGCGGTGCACATCGGCTGCCGATCTCTGGGGTGTGATTCGGGTTGTGAGCGGGTGGGGGTCACGGAGCGCTCCACCATGACCCGCGCCTTCAGTCTAACGCTTCTCGCGGAAGGCGTAGCACCAATGGATTTGGAGCAATAGATGCACGTCAGGCTCGACGCGATTGCTTCGCAAGGAGACGGAATGAAAATAATGGGCCCCCGACGCGCGCACTCTCTCTCTCTCTCTTTCTCTCTCTCTCTCTCTTTCTCTCTTTCTTTTCTCTGTTGTTTGCAATGTATGCCCCATCGTAGTTCTCGCCTGCGCGCTGGGATTTCATCACTTGCAGCCGCTACCCGTTCGCAAGGAGACCGATGCTGACAACTATTCCGAAATCCAGGATCTGGTGACCCGGTATGAGACGTTGGAGAGTGCCAACAAGGACGCCGATCAAGCAGAAAAGAGGGCCAATCGTAAAGCAGAGAACGGCAGGGAATAGTAGAGTACGTCTGGGTAGGGTAGGGTAGGACAGATCAGGGCGTCCGAGGAAAGTAGAGCAGGCCAGTGCAGAGCGTAGCAAGGCCAAGTGTCGTGGAGTGGATGAAGGCGGACTTATAGTAGGGTCGGGTCCGGTGGGATACAGTAGGGTAACACAGAACAGCATAATACCTGAGCTACCGCTACCGAAGCTGCGGATATCAGCGACGGTTCCGAAGTCGGAGAGGACGGCGAAGTCGTGGGCGTGTCGCGGACATGTCGCGGACGTGTCACTGGCGGACCTTGTCGCGGCCGGCTCCCGGGCGGATCTCGGCCGAAGGTCGCTGCCCAGGGGGTTGCGGGCGTGTCGCGGGTGGGTTGCGGGTGGCTCGCTGGCGGGTAGTATCGTACTATCACGCAGACAGGCGTGTCGCGGAGGGGAGGCGGCAGCAAACAGAGTACGGAGATCACGGACGTGGCGTTGCCCTCCAGCCATCTTCCATCACGGTCACAGAGACAGCGCAAGACCGCTCGATCCTCTGACTCCGATTACCAGAGAGCGGAGTAGGATGGAGCGAAACTGCAACGCAGAGTAGAACAGATACGAGCAACGTATACATAGTGTAGCAGGATCCGGCTGTGAAGATTTCAGTAGAGTGGGGCCATGTAGTGAAGGGCTATGTCCGGCAGTGCTAAATAGAACAGGGCAAGCAGGAGAAGGGGAGAGAGGGAACACGTAACACATGTACATGCATTCCCGTGCATATGATTGTGTGTATCTATAGATAAACCGCAAGAGAGTGAGAAAGAAAGAGCGAGAGGGAGAGAGAGAAGGAGAGGGAGAGGGGGAGAGAGAGAGAGAGAGATCAGGATATGTCCAGGGAATGGGATAGCGGCAGATGTGTATATCC